TGCAATGTATTCAAGAAATATAAAATTACTGTCGTCGAAGATGGAAACAGCCCAGTCTAATCTTTAAAAACATAATAATCTATATAAATATATACAAGAATGAGCATGTGTGGTAACAATACAGCCAAAAAGGGCTAAAAAGGTCATATTATGCTACTAAATATGGTGACTAGAAATAAATAATTTTAAAAAAAAAAGGAAGGGAACCGGACTAGAAGTGTCATATGTAAATGTACCACCAAACAAATAAAATGTAAACTATTAATCAGAGTGTTGATAAATCCTATCCAAATAAGTTTTTAAATAATATTCTGCAGTGCAACCAACTGCTGACCACTGCTTTGAACAAAAACAGGTATTGTTAGAGAATAAGAAAATTACATATACACACATCATAACATTCTGCAGTGCAACCAACTGCTGACCACTGCTTTTAACAAAGAAATTTACATATACCATGGCATTCTGCAGCGCAACCAACTGCTGACCGCCGCACTGACTGAGACATAACCAGGGGAAACACATTTACAATATGTCCTTTGTTGCTAGTGCAACCATATGCTGCCCACTAACAAAGTTCCTTCAGATAACATACACAACAACTTTTCATAAATTTTTTGCGACAACATGTTCAATGTGCTGGAAATCTGATGTATCTTTGAAAAGCATTGGATTTCCAACGACCTAATTTCTGAATGGTAGTATCTGATAAACCCTTAGCTGCTGCATCTATCGCAGCACCTATCCTAAAGCTGTGACCTTTGTAATGTCTTGGATTTAAGCCGCAAAGACCAATTGTGTGACTAAGATTATTTGAAACAAAGTAGTAAGATATAGGCAAGCCTGATTTGAATTGAAAAAGGGGGCCCTTAGTATGTGCAAAAGTTGCCAGATATGATTTCATGACTTGAACAGGACAAAATTTTGAATTTCCACTGGCATAAACATGCAGTGATGTGGGTAAGGGACTGTCATGTGATTTGTGAGTGTTATCAACATGGATTTCTCAGTATCAAAAGAAATGTCATTGTATTGAATTACATTTTCCACTTGTGCCTTTGATTTTTGGTACTAATTCACCAAGACGCATGAATGCATGATATGCAAGTAGGAAAAGGGATTTTAACGATAACCTTGAATGGGGATCAGGGAATGACACGCTAAATTTTTCTACTAATTTTTCAAGGATTGCATGCGTGATGGGTAGGCGTGAATCTGGTGAGATATTACGTGTAGATGATCTTGAGCCCTTAAGCAATTTCTTGACAAGAAAGGACTAAACGAACTTTACTTAAAACAATTTATTAACATAAATTTATCTTTCAGTTGATTTGATACGCCAGAGCATGCTCTACGTATGAACAAATTCTAAAACGAGGTAAGTTATTGACAAACAAGTTGATGAAACAAAAATATCAGCAGTTTCGTTTAAAGTCATCATTTCGTAAGTTCTATGGTCGATACAATGACCTTGTCAACAAATACAATTTTTCACTAAGTCAAATGCTGACTGACTTTTTTCATACTAATTGTTAGGCCATTATTTACATGGCCGTAGGAACCGGGGGGCACGGGGGGGGGGGCGTGCCCCCCCCCCCAATTTTGCTGATATATAGATTACTGTAGTAAACATAGATAATATGTGTTTGTGCTTTTCAGGAAATTTTTGGTAGTGCCCCTTCAACTGTCAACTGAAAGATGTATGGCTGTGCCCCCCAAACTGAAATTGCTTCCTACGGGCCTGTTTTACACACTGAATTTTCGACAGATTTTTTCCGTTATTTCTCGATCATGACAAAGAGCACACGACGGGTGTGACCGGTCTGCAGGGGATGCTCACTCCTCCATGGCACCTGATCCCACCTCTAATGTCTTAGAGGTCCGTTTCTGCTCTGCTCCTATTTTGTAATGTTTAATGGACTTTTGAGCTCGAATACTGTTCGTTATCTCCACATATTTCATTGATAACATTGTAAAGAAGACTTACAAAAAACTTGGTTTACTGAAAAAACTAAAATTCACTGTGTAAAGGGATATTTTGTCTCAGATGTATATTTCTTTTATCAGACCACAACTGGAATACGCTGTTGAATTGATTGATTGTAAGTTGTTTTACGTCCCATTCGAGAATTTTTCACTCATATAGAGACGTCACCATATTACGCTGTTGAATTTTGGTCTGGATGTACAAAGGCAGACATTGAAAAGCTCTGATCAACAAAATGTAGAAATGTTTAAAGTTATTCATACTTTCTTAAAAGAATTGGTAGATTTTCTAAACAATCTTAAGTAATTATATTTTGCGTATCAAGAATTTTTTAGTTTTTGACACTACTGATTGATTTGTTACCTTGTATTGTGGTAATTTTGTAAAATTCTGTATAAGGAGAAGACTATCTAAGTTGTAGAACTTGTGTCATCCTTTTGACTATGTCAGTAAAATATGTTCAATTCAATTCAATTCTAGTTTGAAAACGTTTTAATATGAAAGAAACATGATACAATAAATTCCCCCTAAAATCACTTTTTTCCATTTAAGTCAATTCTTTAAATCTGAGCCAAAAAAGAATTTTATACACAAATTTTCTTACAAAAATAAACTAGGTTTTGAAGTGATCCTATTTTACATTGCACTCCTGACGTCTGCTGTTTTAAAAATTATAACACACAATAACTCATTCAAAGTTTATAAATCAGTTCGTCGTTTTGATATTTTTTATCATTTGCGGCAATTTAAAAAAAAAAATATTTTCAAGACTTCAAAGCACGATTAATTGCTTGTGTAATATATATTTAAATAGTAATGAAATTGTGCAATAATAAAAACACATCTGGATTGATAATGTAATCGAAAAAGAGACGGGTTTTATTTATAAAACTGACAATAATTTAGTACTGAATTATTCAAATAGATCATTATTTATTAAAGAACATTTATCAGTAAGAATTGAAGTCTTTTCATCATATAACTTAAGTCTTTAAAAAAAATGTGTTGCACCCCTGACCATAGATTGATTGATTGATTGTATGTTGTTTAACGTCCCATTCGAGAATTTTTCACTCATATAGAGACGTCACCATATACCGGTGAAGGGCTTCAAATTTAGACCTTTACTCGGCACTCAGGGCCATTTAGCAGTGAGGGATCTTTATCGTGCCAACGCCTGTCGTGCCATGGGGCCTCGGTTTTTAAGGTCTCATTTGAAGGACCCGCAACTTTCACTTCAAAGTGCTGAGCGCATGCGAAGGAACAATTGCTACCCATTTTTTATCGACTTAGGTCAGTCGCAGCCGAGATTCGAACTCACGACCTCCCGATCACGGAGCGCCCCTGACCATAGAAATATAGATCTAAAATACAGACAGATTCTGTAATTGCTAAATCTATTTGGTAAAAATGTTCTTTGTGTTTTATTGTTATTTTCCAAAATAAAAATCAGAGAATCATATACTGATAAAATTGTTACCATGTATGGGACCAAAACATCAAATGCTGCATTCCTGACATAATCGGGAATGCAGAAATACTTGATTCTCATTATTGCTGCTTGTGATTTATAAAATATTTTAAAGTTTTAAATGGTACATCAGTTACTGATTTACACTTCAAAAATTCTTTTTTGACTTAATTGTTATGTTTAAAATCAATGATTATTTATTTCGCAGATTTTCAAAACAATATTGCATTTTCAAAATGTCCAAAAACAAAAAGGTGTTGCAATCCTGACATTTTTAACATCATTTTTGAGCATAACTTTTTTGTGACTTGAGATATCAATAAGATATTTGGCAAGTATTTAGACACCATCTAAAGACATATGCTGCGATGTAGAAATTTATTCCCATTGCCTGTATTTTAGTGCAGGTTGATAAATATGTGTCTGGTCATTTTCTTTAAATTCGCCCATGAATGAAAGGAAACAGAATTCAGTAAAAACAAAAACTGTTCTATTTCTATTTTTTCTACTAATTATATTAGATGGTTTTCGCAAGAAACATTTGAATTGAGTTTATTTGAATTTAGTTATTATCAGTCTCTTTGTATTCCAGGTAACTTCTTAACACTTAATAAATGGCAATTTTGTAAAAATATATTTATTTTTAGTAGATCTATGCATGTGGATATTTTTCCTTCGGTGTACGACTGTCTATTAAGGCAATTTGTTTATGTAGTGTGATCACTTTTAAATGCATGTGTTACATTAAAAGTTTAAAATCTATCCGTTTAAATTTATGTATACAGTTTTGAGCAAACAATCTAAACTTTAACATGTAAACAATTCAACACAAAGTGACTGGTATGTCTGAAAGTTATGAGCGTTAAGGAGAGACAACTCTGATATGGATATCAACTCGGATATGACACTTTAAAATTCGATATTTACCTGACAGGTGTACGACGTTGCCAGGTACGATCTGACCCATAAAAAATCTTTTCTGGTCATGTGAGCGTTTAAAAAAATGAAAGAGTATTCAATTAAGGTAAAAACATCAGAAACCGTGATTTTTCCGCCACATTCAATTTCAGTTTTTACTGACAGTGACACTGTTACACTCTTCAGTTAAGGTAAGAAAAGATAAGGATCGAGAGTTTAAGTGTTGATCTAACAACGTTAATTATAGAGTTACATGTACTTATTTATCAGCTGTTTATCTTATAAGGTTGAGAGAGAAAGAGAGAGAGCGAGTATACTTTTTAATCCATAAGAGTTTTAAGAATAAAAACATAAAGACCAATTTAGATCTTTGCCAGTATGAGGTAGACGAATTATAACTTTATGCTAGGCTAAGATTTTCACCTGATATCTTTCTCACTAATCACAGGGGCTTTCTCCTGTGGTGTTAAAATAATTATTTAAAATCATATACCAACTACTATAAAACTACAGTAGTTGGTATATAATTTTTAACAAATATTTTCTTATACTTCGGGAGCAAGCCCCTATGCACTAATTTAAAAAAAGGAATAAAAGATCGATTCATTTCTTGCATAGATTTACCATTTATAATAGATACACATATAATTTGCCATCGGAAGAATGACAAAAAGACAGAGGGAAGACAGATTTGACAATGAAGTCAGGTAATGTATAGAAATCAGTAGAAATTCCCAGTACAGTACTATAGTACTTAACATACTTCCAGTCATTGAATTTTATCTACTCCTCTCATCACTAAGTAACATTTCAAATATCAAAATATTAATGTAATCATTCACTTTTTCAGATACTTTTTAAACCCGGAATCGGTGAGTGTACATCTGTTTTGTTCAATTTGCCAAGATGTTTTCCAGGACCCCCAACGGGCTCCTTGTGGCCATAGTTTCTGTAGAAAGGTATATTACCTACTGAAGTTAAATCAGGCTTAATTAATGCCAAGTTTCAATTATTATCTTGATATAATATAGATTACTACCCTCAGTTTAATTGTCAATGTTGATAAATTCATAATACACTGTATTATATTAAATAGTTAAAATTAGGAATTTTCCCCTCTTAAAGATTCACATTAATCCGCTAAGTATAAGATAATAAGAATTCTCACTGTTTGGGACATTGTTTAAATGTGTTTTCAGTGCATATTACCATGGCTACGACAGAGTCAATCTTGTCCTGAGGACAGGTAAGTTTAATTTTCCATTATTACGTTGTGTTTAATACTATTTTAGAAATATTTTGAGTGTAATAAATTTGTTTAAAATTAAATTTAGATAAATCAGTTCCACATTATAGTAATGAATAGCATTTCAAAATTCATTTTAAATGCCATTTAAAATGCAAATTTCAGATTCAAAACTTTCAAGTAATAAATTGTTTGTTTGTATGTTGTTTAACGTCCCTCTCGAGAATTCAAGTAATAAAAGAAAAATAATTATATTCAAGTAATAAAAGAAATATATATATATTTTTTAATTTTCTTGACTATATTTGGTAATTCGATTTTTTTTTTGGTTTATTTTCTCATTTACAGGAAGCCTGTCAAAGAGAAACAATTGCATCATGACTTTATTTTGGAAAACATCATAGGAGATCAAATGGTACGTAAGAAAACAGAAAAAAAATACAGAGGTAAATAGAGCTTGTACGAACGTTTTATCTGGAAGAAATGTTTTTGAATGACAGATGGAATGAGCACTTTTGTTAATCCTACATATTGATTATCTTTACTTGGTATTGGCAGCATGTTTTATTATTTATACGTAGCTGTGCTTTATCAATACCTCTACTGCTGTATAAAATCTGTTCTTTTTTAATGTTAATGGCTTCAAATATCTCTGTGAAGGATCTTAGATTAGGCATGATAAAAAAAAGTAATTATAGTTGGTAGACGATTTTTTTTAATTAAGAATTGATTGATATCCTCACATACCTTAGATTGGCACGTCTTTCCTGTTTGGGATATTACAGGTGGCGTGTCCATACCGGAAGTCAGGGTGTGACTATGTAGGACAGCTGCAGTTACTGGCATCTCACAAGAAAACTTGTAACTTTAACCCCATCAATCTTCCTGATTTTCTCAAGGCCACTGACAGCGTTTGTGGTAATGGTAATTGTTCGAAATTTCAAAATACAAACTTGTCAAAAATTGACCACTCCTTGAACTTAAAAACACTAAATATCTTTTAAAGATTATTACTTGAACGTAGGACCATATAGATTTTACTAAATTCATATCTGGCTAAGATGAGCATAGAAGATATAATTTTTGTCTGATAATTTTATTGTTTTTATGGTCATGAAGCCAGGTGAGCTTAGAAAATAATAATCGTTTTTATTACCATTTTGTCAAATTGTCATTGTAAAATATATGTTCTTTAAATGTAAATATACGATTTTACAAGATGTTAAAAAAATCCGCCCAAAACAAGGAAAAAACCTTTCTTATCAAGCTTCAAAGAGTGTCAAAAAGTCCACATCCATTCCTCCCCATTCCTCAGTGAAAGCCAAGTTTTACATTCGACAATCAGAAAATTTCCATTCTGTAAGAAGGAGTCAATATTTATCAAAAGAAAGGAGGGAAAAAATGAATATATATAATTTTAAGAGAACATTCAATTTATATCTCTTTCCCTTTGAAAAACATATTCCCTTGGATTAGATATCCCTAATATAGAATAATCTTCAACTTCGTATATATGCGTGTATACTTATTTTTTGTGTACTTGATGTCTGGTAAGCTCGATGACTCATAGGCTTATTTGATTTAGATCTGTTTGCTCACCTTTCTATTCCATTTGCTTCATAGCTGCAATGCTTCTATTTCATAGACGAATTGAGTGTTGATGAGGAGTCGTCTATTCCAACCCCCGGTAAACCCTCCCTCAAAATGAGACTGTTTCAAGCTGGTGACAGCAGGAAAGAATTGCTCATGTCCATGTTTGATAAGAAGAAAAGCAGCAGTATATCGTGACGGCAGTCATTCAGACTGGACTGACAGATTCTCATATCAATCGGTGGTAAAGAAAACTTGTGTTTTTCCACTGACAGTTTGTTTAGCAGCGGCAGGGCAATCACTGCACGTTTAGGGGGTAAATTCTCCTCACCATATAACGATATCTCACTTCTAAAAACGCTATGAATTAGAAAAAAAAACTTACTAAATATGTTTTCTATCCCTGTTTTTCAAGTAAGGTGGTGTCAGAAACATGACTATCAATGGATGATGACAGTTTTACTCTAATGACAACAGTGTGAAATAGTGGTCACAAATAACGGAACGTACAAGATTCAAAGAAAGGAGTTTGTCTTCCAATTATAAATTTCCACTTTTTTGATTTCAGTGAGTTCGTTTTCAGAATAAAAGAGTATACGTATGACTAAAACGTCCTTGTTTTGTCAGATTCATATTAGTTTCTCTATCTTTGTACTTTGAAATGCTCAAAGCTTCACTCTTAATGGCGGAGTCGAAAATACAGTTTGGTGGTTTATATATGCGTAATAATAAAGATGTATCTCACGGACGCCCTTCATATAAAGGTTCAGCAGAAAATGCAAGCCTGTGAACTGATTTTAGAAAAGTCAGGGTCCTATAGTCTGCTTTGTAAGTATATTTACAATGTAAATCGAATGGTTTAAATAAATTAGAACTCTGAAGCTTCAATTTACTCAGCATTTCATCTCAAGTTTCGTCTATTTCCAAGGTTACTCCACTGGAGGTTTAAATTCCAATGTGTAATCCCCCAAGATTTAAACTACTATAGTCAGTAATCAGTATATTATCCCAATATCCCGATCAATGATATACGTGAAAACGTGAGGCCATTTTTGAGATTTTGAATTTTTAACATCCTTGTTTTCTTTCAAATTAAAATGAAATAGTAAATAAATAATTATTAAAAATTTACACTTTATATTTTCCATGATTATTCCTGTATTGTATCTGATTATATGCTGTGTGTCTTGTGTGTGAAAACTTATACTACATTACTATATTGTACTCCAACGTACCTTTTTAAATGACCTTTTTCAATATCATAGGAGGAATCCACTTTTCCTCTTGAAACCTAAAGTTTATTACTACAACTAATTGTAGGTTCGTAACACTACTTTCGACGACTAGATCTAATCATGAAATTATCAATTATACAGAACTGAATATTACGTTAACATAAGCATTTCAGACCTGTCTGTGTCTTAGTGGTGGAGTCAACATGGCCAAAATGAAAAATAAATAATGAACTACGCATGCTAACTTTTAATTCCCGCCTACATTTCACACCTATTTCAACATAAATTTCAATTTGGACATTAAAAATTTTTTGAATGCAAAGAAAGTTCAAAAGTAATTTAATAAGAAGATGGGCTAATAAGGCCAGCAAAATGCCTATTGCGCAAGAAATAGAAAAATGAAATCTCAATTATGACAAAATTTTCTATATTTCTTTTAACATTAAGGTAAATACTTTATTAAAAAAATCTTCATAAATCAGAACAATTTCATAAACTTATGATTGAAATTATTCGTCTATGCAGGGACCTATATACTATATACTACTTAGTATATAGGTCCCTGGTCTATGAAATAGCATACACACACTAAAGAGGGCAAATATGATCGATTCTTCATACTAAAACACAATTTTTCTCTATAAGAAAAATGCATGAATTACATTCGCCCCATTTCTTTTAAAGATTTTATTCAAAGTATGCGTAAAATTATTCTTCGGTTAACAAAAACATGGAACAAAGACCCACTAATACCTTAAAAAATACACCTTTTTTCAGAGAATTATTTGAATATAGTCCAGGTTCATATCACAAACATAATTTAAATGCCGGTTTTTGTTATGAGCGATATACCGTAGTGGTTAGTGTGTTATTCTCGAAACGAAAATTGATATTCAGGGTTTTTATTGCTTGGGTTGCCCCCCCCCCCCCCCAAGGATATACCACATTTTTTAAAAATCATAAAATGATTTTTCCTAAAGAATTTCCCAGGGAAAAGTTTTGTTTGTCATAATTTAATACCTTTCAATGGTAAGAACTTTACTCTAAATACTAAATTTACATATTGAACCTTTAGGTATTTTGAACGCCATGTTCGCCCATCTCCTTTAATACCAATGTCAAAACTAATCAAAATTGCTCTAAATTACAATCCCTTTTACAAGAGAGGGAGTTAAACAACGTTATCCATTGAAATCAGGCTTTAAACCATCACAAGATTTTTTAAGATACTTACTGAATAGATAAATGACCTAAAAACATTGCTGTATGTAAAACTCGTAAAATTAAACATATAAGATTGATAAATTACAATTTTTGGTTGTAGTCTCATTTGATATTGATAATGAACATTTTCGCTGTTTTCTGTCTGTAAACATAACCCTCCCCACCCCCGGTGAAACAAAAGCTTTGGTATTAATTTGTTAAATAACAATTCATATTACTGTGAAAAGGAGGGGGATGAATAAATTGATTTTTATGGTGGAAAATACAAATTTTACCAAAATTATAGAGTTACCTCTCTTTGTTTTCCCAAATAAGTTAAGTTTTGTGAAAATTCGTATAAATATCAATAAAAATAATAATGAAAAATCATTCAAATATGTTAACTTTTGAATTTGATATGGAGGTAGGCGGCAGTTCAATACTATCATTCGTAGTTTTTTAAATGTAGTCGGATTTTAAATAAAATACCAAAATGGAGGTGACTGAATTTCTAGTGATAGCTTTTAGTATATCTTAAGGAGGTTCGATCCTGAGCTTTTGAGCAGATTTTGGTCTGGACCTTTATTTCTAAAAGTCTGCATCATTTTAAAGTTCTAACATTAAATCTGGATTCTACAATGCAAATTAAATTATATCCAATGAAAAAACCGCGATTAAATTCCATTCAAATAGGATTAAGCCAGGAACTATATTTTGTGGCGGAAGGTTTTTAAGAAGAAAATGATCAATTTTTCCATTTTGAAATATATACAGTACTGATGTTTGCCATGGTGGTTGCACACAGAGCTGTTTTTGCAGTGAAATGTTTTATGCCTGTTCTGAAATATCTATTAAATTATTTCTTATGAATTCTTTTATTGTATTGTGACAAATATAGTAAATATATTCTGAAAATCCAGGAAAAAATTGAGCCAATTTTAGCATAAAATTAAACACTTTTTTAGTAATATCTAAAAATTTACATCATAGACCCCCACTTTTGTTTTTCTTTTCTGAATATATAAGATAACGTTGATCAATCTGCTTAAATTCAGCAAAAGTTTAAGACTTTAAAATAATTTTCTTGCTTGTTAAATTTTTAATGCTAGAAAAATCACATTTTGTGAGTGCATCAAGGTCAAATAATTGATTATGCGAAGCAATTTGAAACTTTTTCTTAGTCACAATTTTAATGTGTCTTTTTTTTAAATAGACTAATAGTTTATTTTGTCCCATGATTTATTTGGATAAAAACATTGGAGGGTAAACGTCGAAGATATGATTTTTGATTAAGACACAAATTTCAGTGCAAAAAGGTCATATTAAATGTACTGTAGCGCCAAAAGAAGCATATTGACCCCCATTTTTTGTTCTGATTTTTAATTAAGCTATATGTGTAGAAACTAAAAATATAGTTGACAAAAAAAGTTTAAGACTTTAAATATCAGGATCCAACCTCGTTAAAGGGGCCTTGACACAGTTTGCATTGTTCATATTTTAAATTTCTATGGTTATTCAAAAAAAAAAAAAATAAAATAAAAAAAATAAAAAAAATAAAAAAAAAAAATAAAACAAGTTTAATGAATTGAACTTACATGAATATTCTTAGAATACAATGACAACCACATTCTTCTTTATATCACGTCAAACATCTGTTTTTGTAAACAGGGCACGAGCTTTGTTAATGTTAACATTTCACCGGGTGTGTTCAATTTGTAAAACTCTGTACACATCACTGAGCACGGACTGACAATACTGTAAGTTGGTTTTGCTTTCTCACATTTCTACTCTGAATTTTCTGGATAATGAATTTAATATTTTTCAATAATACACAAAAAATTTCTACTTTCCTTAATATTTTTCATTAATACACAAAAAAATTCTACTTTTCTTAAGAATTTTAAAGAAGTATTTACTTCGTGAAAGTGCAAGGATAGGTGTCAATCAAACGCGTCCCGAAATTCGTCGTTTTAATAATTTCCAAATAAATGAAGATTCCGAACACGTTTTTATTATGTTTCCGTGTGAAATGATTTAGTATGGAACGCCATAGCTGCCTTATGTTGTTATTTCATGAAAAGATGGTGCTTTTTTATGTTATGCTGTGGTTATTTCATGTGAAGATGGTGCTTTATTATGTTATGCTGTGGTTATTTCATGTGAAGATGGTGCTTTATTATGTTATGCTGTGGTTATTTCACGTGAAGGTGGTTTTTTATGTGAAGGTGGTTTTTCACGTGAAGGTGGTTTTTTTATGTGATGGTGGTTTTTCATGTGAAGGTGGTTTTTTATGTGAAGGTGGTTTTTGATGTGAAGGTGGTTTTTCATGTTTATGTGAAGGTGTTTTTTTTATTTAATATGATGGTGGTCACTCGGAACTCCTAATATTTTTGAAGACCGAGTTTAACACTGAGCTTAACCGCTATTATCTTGAAACAAATAGTCAATATAACTAAAATCATTTTAATATGCCATTGCTAGTTCTTCTTTTTTTCCATAGGCGCTTGGTTTCAGGATGGTGTATTTTGTGTATTATATATTTTTTTTAGCTCTGTCTGAATAAACTCGATAACATAAGAATAAAAAAAAATCACTGAAATAAGCAAGTTTTAAAAATGACATATTACTTTATATAAAAAAAGAGTGAAGGTACGACAGTTGCAATCTTTGATTTTATGTGGTGCCCGGCTCGGTTCACACTTGATTTTAATCAATATCTACACTTTTCCTACCAGTTTCGGGCAGGGTTTCGGGTAAAATCTACATTTAAAAATGATTGAATAACGCCTTTCAATCGTCTGCCAATTCGAACTTGCCGTATAAAATATGCAGTAAACAAAAACCTCCTGATACCTAGCACTGAAAGTGAACGCAATGGAAGTGACGA